TAATAATAATAATAATAATAATAATTTACGTTGAAATTTTTATTTATTTGAATATCGTAATAGTTTCTGAAATAGAACACACTTTACAAAACTTTGTTCATCTTGTCGAATTACGAAACCAAGTATTGCGTTTCAGATTATTAATAAATCATGTTTTGAGTGTACAAACCGTGTAAATGAAAGCAAAAAATGGAAACTTGAAGATCGAATTTTAAATGAAATTTGCGAGCAAATGAAAATGGCATAAAATCTGAAGAGATTGAATTCGCATATAGTTTATGAAACCTTATGGATGTTGAAGGAGAAAGCGATATGTATTGGTATAAGGTATGCTAAAAAAGGATACATGTATAAATTCAACCAACCACGTATTTATCTTGTTTGTCATATTCTTACCGAAAAATTGTTGCATGAATAAATATTTACCATCGTGGCGTAAAGAATTCAAAACTGCGTTAACCACGCATACTGTAGCACTAATACTAAAAATTTGCAGTAATATTTAACTGATTATCAAAATTGGACATGCTCTTGTCCTTATTTTTTTTAAAAAAGATTTTTATTAAATAAACATCTTGTTTATTCACTTGGGAAGATAGATTCATCATTTTATGGCTTACATTTTCTAAATCTAACATCATATTAATTTAGGCACAACGAAATTCCCCAATATCCGTTTATTACGGAAGCTAAAGAAACTTTCTGGGAAATTACTCAAACGTTGACCTTAGTTAATTGCACACAAGTCAAATTAGCGATCAATCTGGTAAATTCAGAAAACCGAAACATAGTCGAGTACTGAAGATATCGGAAATTTTATGAAGTACAAAAAAAATCTTCAAAAGGTATAAAAAATTTTTTTGTCATTATATTTCAATATTTAAATTAATACATTTATTACTTTTATGTTTAGGCATTTAATTGTTTGAACAATCTAATAATTTTCCCATACAATAAAATGGCTTCAAAGTTTTGAATCAAACTTTAATTCTGTTCAAAAAATGGTAGATAGCATTAAATATTTCGAATGAGCAAAAACTCTTGGAGAAGGCGTAACAAAAACACCTTTTACTAGTAGCATTAAATTCAAATTTAAAGTTTGACGCGAGTTACAAACAATTTCTTCAATTTCATGAAATAATGTCACCAAATTTGTATACTAAAGTTGCATTAATAAAGATTTAAATAATAGCATGCCAACGGCAAAAAAAAAAAAATTAATTTTTATACATGTACTGAATAAATTTGAATTTGGATATAAATGCATTTTATAGATTCGAATTGAATGTAACAATAATTAAATAAAATTCGAATTAGTTAAAATATAAAAAAAATTAAATTATTTTTTTAAAAAATTTCGTGCCCTTGTGATTCTGTTATCTTGTGCGCAGATTAAAATTTAAAAAGCGATTACGTAACTAATTTTGGTGGCGATACTAGGTGCGTTGTTAATCTACAATTTTGATAATGCAAATCTACAAAACCTTATAAATACAACATAAAAATTTCGGCAATAAAATTTTGGGGTGCTGTGGCAGAACTACTGTAGGACTAGTATATATAACGCAATAAAACAAAATGTTTTAATGGCAATTTCCTTTTTGTGGCTCATGATGAATATATCATGAGTCAGATTCGAAGAGATGCAGATTTTAAAATTAAGTTGCGCCAGAATGAAATTCGATTCAATAATACTTAAAATCATGAAAATAATTTATTGTGCATTTCGTTTGAGTTAAACTATAGAAATATTTATCCACTATACGCATCGAATAAAAAAAAAAACACTATTTAATCAAAAATTATAAAATTATTCTTTTTTTTTATACTGTCAATATTACACCGCATACTTCATTACTTTGTGTAATCGATTAAATACTTGAAATTAGATAATATTTTAACAGTCAAAGAAGCAACTCTAAAACAGAATGCTAGCATGCTTGTAATGTCAATAAATGCCATTGTAAATTGGTCGTTGAGGTGGAAGTAGTGATGCGTTAGAATCGTCCCAATGATTGTTGCAACTGGCCGTAACTTACCGTAACTATAGCAATATTACTTACTATATATAATTACAGCAATTATAACAATCATTGGGACGATTCTACTGAATCACTATGTTAAAATAAACGAATCATGTGCAATAACGGTGGATTATTTTTGCATTTAAAGTAGAAACTATTTTGTATTACTCGATATAAGCTGCAATAGCTTCAACACAAGCCGAAATATTTCGATCACATGTATAATGCAGCATGGGCGACGCCTAAGGAAAACTAGAATTTGGCTTCTGCTTTTAAGTCTAAAACTTATCCTAAAAAATCTGAACAATTTTGACCTTACGCAATAACCTAATGGTAGATCAACCTGCAAAAAAACAAAATAAATACTAATACACAATATAATTTAAAACATTTTCAAATATCGTTACTCGAACATTTCATTAATGATTTTGCACAACTCTTTGAAACTAAATACGATTGTCATAATACATTCTTTAATTTTATATCAGCGTTTATCATTCGTTCGTCAAGAATTGTAAACCACAACTAAAAAGAATAACATTAACGAATTCACTCTAACTCACATTTCTTTTAAAATTTTAATCAACTTATTTGATAATAAATTTAATTATAATTGGAAATTCACTGGCATATACACATATGTGTATTTTGCTAACGCAAGATGCCATCTCAAAAGTTTAAAATTAGAATCATGATTCAATAACTTGGGCTATTTGTTAAAAAATAGCATCCCAGTAAACTTCATATTTGATGACCTAAAATTATTTTATAGTAAATTTATTAAAGATCTTTTAAATTAGATATATTTATTGTGGTATAATTCCATTAGCAAATGTTGAACAATTACTATATTTATCTTTCAGTATCTTCCAACAAATTATGTTTAGTTGAGTTAGTTGAACAGATTCAGACCTATCTTATCGATAAAAAGGCATCTTGGTTTGATTAAAATTTATTCTATTTGTTTTCAAGATTACAATTTTAAAGCCTTACAAACTCTTCATACTGATATTCTTGCAAAATATTTAGCTTGGTCTTTGACTCTGATGAATTTACTTCTATTCATGATGATGCGTTAATAATCTTTTGAAATGCGATGATTTGCAAATTGATAAATCGGAAAATTTGGGATAAGGTTATTCAATGGGAAAAAATATCAACCAGACTTACCTTCTGACTTCAAATAATGGCTAAAAAGGATTTTTTTAGCCTTGTAATCTACACTTGACAAATGTATTCTTTTAATTGATATTTTCAAATGTTTATAGAAGAAATTGTAGCAAAAGTTAAATGTTATCGAAAAACTCTAGGAACAGATTTATGAAATGATATTACAACAAGGCATATAGATTCTAATGCATCTATATCTTCAACTATTTTACCTGCTCATAAAAAAATTTCTGTTCAACTTCCCTTATATAATGTTCATTTTATTAATCCATCGTCTATTGTCAATTCTACAATTATGAACATTTTGCAGAGATTTCATCTTGGATTGATCGTCATCTGAAATATAAGATGTTACAAAACAACCTTACAAGTTTAATTTATTTCTTAAAGGAAGCAGTAATGGATTTACTTGTGAAGTATTTCATAAATTATGCGATAAAATACCTGGCACTGTGGTTTTTATAAAAGTTAATGGAGCATATGTAATACTTGGTGGATATAATCCATTAATCTGGCCATCTAATGATAAATATCATTGGCTAACAACTTCTAATAGTTTTATTTTTTCATCAAAAACTTCAAATTTACATAATTCTGTTACTGTATCATAGTAAGAGAGTAATTGGACATTTCGTTATTTTCCAGTTTTCGGCGATTATTCCTTTATGAAACATGATGATAATAAGATATGGGTTATGGACACAATTCAAAATATTATGAAAAACAGTTTAGAGTAGATATTATGGATCTTTTATTAATTACTATGAAGTATTTCAAGTTTTGAAAAGATGATTTTAAAATTTAAACGTGTAATTATGAATACAGTAAATCATCATATACGTACATTTTAGGACAAAATATAAGTTCGTATTTATAAAGCAATTATTAACGTTATTAGAGACTTATTATATAATTAAATATTTTTAAACAAAATTAAAGAATTTGAATTATAATTTGGTACAATATTTATAGTTTTATAATTTAAATTTAATTTAATTAAAAACATTAAATTACATAAAATAATTGGTAACGGTAAATTATTGCAATGCCTGCTATATTGATATTCACAGTTTTTTTCATGCTCCCACTGAATTTATCGTTAGATATTTACATATATTTGCCATAATAACTCAATAACATTAACTTTAATAGTCTAATCCAAAATTTTGAGGAAAATGGCTTCAAGACAAAATTAGTCTTGCTTTAACTGTTCACAAAGTAATTATAATTGCAAAAAAATATTAATAGTTTAAAGGGTAAAAATTAGGAATCAACAAAGAAATTAAGTGAATTTTCTAAAGAAAAAAAGAAACTATTGGGAAATTTTCTCAATATAAAAATTTACTATATTTGTTATTTTCTACAAACAATGCAATTATTGGAACGCACTAAAAATGATTTATTAGGTGATTAACGAACAGACTTGGTGTAATTTTGCAGGAAACTAAGGCGAAATTGAAGCAGAAAGAAATGTTTAAGCTAGAAAGGCTTTACAGGAGAAAGGAAGAAATATGATTTTTAAATGTTTAGAAGCGATAACTTAGTTTTAAACGGATTTATTTAGAAGCATTAGTAGTGATGTGCCGTTTATATGATAGCCCAATTTTTTTCGCGTACAGTACATACATGTTGTATAGTATATAATTAGAAATAGATCTGCATTATTACTACGGCAAAATCTTTAATACCAGGAACGGAGTGATGAATATC